CCCACAGTGACCCCACACAGTGACCCCTGACCCACAGTGACCCCACAGTGACCCCCACACACAGTGACCCCTGACCCACAGTGACCCCCCACAGTGGCCCCCTACCCACAGTGACCCCACACAGTGACCCCACACAGCGACCTCCATCCAGCCCACAGTGACCTGCTCCTCCCTCTGCTGTGTTCCAGCATGGGCTACTGCATTCTCTTCGTGCATGGACTGAGCAAGCTGTGCGCTGGGCTGAGCAGGTGCGGGGCCAGCTCGCTGATGGCGTCCACTGTGCTGCTGCTGCTGCTCTTCTCCTGGAAAACTGTGAAGCAGAATGAGATCTGGCTGAGCAGAGAGTCCTTATTCAGGTACGATGACACGGGTAAATGCGCATTTCCTCCCACTCTCACTGGAGCAGGTTTGCTCCCCAGTGAAGTAACATGGCTATGACAGCATGTGTTAATCTAGAAAACGCTTCCAATAAATTTGAAATGAAAGATATAATTTTATTTGGGGTTTAATTTTAGATTTTTTAAGTGACAATAAAAGTTAACATGAACTCATTCTGCATGGATTTATGAGAGAAGGATGCTGGGTCTGTGAATTTGGGTGGAAACACCTACTGATGAGCCGGGCTATAAAATCAGTCACTGAAATGAAGTCTGCACGCCTCACTTCATCACTCAGCCGGGTTCAAGGGGAAGGTGAGCACTCAGCAGGAGGGGGAGGCAGGCAGCGGCGCTCCCTGGAATATCCCAGAGCGTTAAATCACGGTCTGCGACCTCACTGTTTATTTTAAACGTTAATTTTAGGTGAGGGAATGGAGACTTTATTTTCTGGTGTGTTTTTCTCCGTGATGGAGTTGTGTTCTGATGCAAGCGTGTCTGCTGAGTTGGCATTAGCAGCTCCGGAGCAGAGCACTTGCCAGACAGACTGGGCAGGTCCAGCATCACTCTTAGGGGTGTGTATTGCTGTGCATGTGTTATTTGCACATGTCCACATATATGAAGGTATGTGTGCCTGCTTACATATGCATAAGCCGTATACATGTATATGCGTGTGCATTCACACGTGTGCGTACATGAGTGCATATTTACATACATATATGTGACACAGATGTGTGTGATTTACACACACACACATAGGTTAACCTATAGCTTTCAGCCTATCCCAAAGCGTGAACGTGAGTAACCGTTGTGAAGGCGTGAAGGAGTGAACAGATAATGCAGATAGTCACGGCTCTGCCACCTTTTGTAAGGAATGTGTCTGAGGAGGGCGCAGTGGCACACTCTTTAGTCCCAGCACTCGGGAGGCAGCGGCAGGCGATCTCTGAGAGTGTGAGGCCAGCCTGCTCTACAGAGAGTTCCAGGCAGCCAAGACTACACGGCAGGACCCTGTCTCAGGGTGGGAAGGAAAGACTGGGTTTGCTCTCACCGCCCAACAATGTAAGGATTTTTAGCGTCGTTGACTCACAGTGCCGTTGGTGGCATCGTCGGCGTGGTGGTGCCCCCCGGTTCCCACAGAGGACTGCTGTAGGACGAGGCTGGTTGTCATGCCTAGCGATGTTTCGTGCCAGCGCTGCGTGGGTAGAAGGCATTATGCCCACATGCATTCCCTGTTCAGTCTGAGGTCTGTTCTCACTGTCCACCTTCTTCCAAACCAATGTCCTTCCACGTTCAGGTTTTTCAGCAATTTATTATTTTATGTACATTGATGTTTACCCGCATGCGTGTCTGAGTGAGGAGGGCAGATCCTCTGGAACTGGAGCTACAGACAGTTGTGAGCTCTCGGGTGGGTGCTGGAGCTCAGACCTGTGGAAGAGCGGCCAGTGCTCGCAACCATTTAGTCATCTCTCTAACTCCTTTCTTGCATTTTTTTTTGTAAACAAGTTTAATTTTTTTTTTTTAACTTTATGTGTATGAGTATTTACTTGTCTAGAGTCCACAGAGGCCAGAAGAAGGCATGGGTTCCCCAGGAACTGGAGTTACAATTGGCTGTGAGCCCTTATGTGAGGGCTGGGAATCAAACACAGGTGATCTACAAAAGCAGCCAGTGCTCCCACCTGCTGAGCCAGTGCTCCCTGCTGAGCCAGCGCTCCCTGCTGAGCCAGCGCTCCACACGCTGAGCCAGCGCCCCCCTTCCCTCTGGGTGACCCAGTGCTGTCATTAGGGCTGTTGGCAGGTCCTCGTGTCTGGAGGGTCACAGGCACTTGTGGCTGCACCACTAAGACAGTCTCTCTGCTGCTTAAGACAGACACTGGCTGCTTTTGCAGATCACCTGTGTTTGATTCCCAGCCCCCACATAAGGGCTCACAGCCAATTGTAACTCCAATTGTAACTGGTTTGCTTTTGTTCCTTTTAAAGCGTTCTTCCCTGGGTAGTTCTCACGGAACAGGGGCTCCCCCTAACCTTGTGCCCTAATCTAGGGTCATGTCAGCAACGCCGGGCTTTGAAGTTCAACACAGAACATCCTCTTGGTCTCTGTGTTTCATCTTCTTTCTCTCACTCTAATAGGTGATGTCTTTATGAAACGCTTTCCGGCTGCCCTGCCGTTATGGCAAGCGCATTCCCAGGATAAAGCTGCTCACTGGGAATGGCATCTTCCAGTGGTGTTTACTGCCTAATCAAAACAGCATAGGTGGGTGGGGGTGGGGATAGGCAGCATTTGCTCCAAGCCCAACAAGCTAGAGCTTAAGCCGTAGCTGATACCAGCAGTTCAAAAATAACAGCACCAAAATCAGAAGGCGCACTGACTCAGCATCCTGAAGCTTCTGTCCCTTTCGGTGGAAGTGTGTAGGAAGTGAGTAGTTGATCAGACGTGCAGCCATTCCACAGTTGTGCTGAAAGGGACTTTGGCCTGGGAGGCCTTAGAAGAGCAGGTGAATTTTTGTGTCAGGTGAAATCGAAGTGTCTGATGCTTCAGGTCAAACAGAGACTGTTCAGTCCTGGGGAAAGTGGGGGCCTGTGGAGCCTTTGTTCTTTCAGGCCAGACATGTGTGATTTCCTTTAAGTTAAGCAGAGACTGTTCAGTCCTGGGGAAAGTGGAGCCTTTGTTCTTTCAGGCCAGACATGTGTGGTTTCCTCTGAGAGAAACAATGTCATCTCACTTGGACATGTCACTGCTGGCTGCTGTGGCAGGGTGAGTGACTGGCGGTCACATCTGGAGTAGGCTTTCTGACTGCATGCTGAGCTCATCCATTTAACTGCTGGCTCTTGGGAAAATCACAGAAGTTCGTTGACAATGGAGAATAACAGTGTTTATCATCCAAGGGGCAGTGTGAGAATCAAACAGTGCATGAAAAATGCCTCAACAGGGTCTGCCGTGGGATAAACACCAAGTGACGCTCTCAGGTTTTGACTGTGCTCTGTAATAAGAGAAGAGAAAGATGCGGTGACAGAAAGAGGAAGGAGACTGAGGAAGCCAGCATAGTGCAGATGGTGCTGGTGTCCTGCGGCTCAGCAACTTCAGGATGAGCTTGACTTGTTCTTGGCCATGACTGACGTTTCTGCCCAAGTACTTACCAAGGCTCCAGCCTCTTCACATGTATTATAGGATAGAATAATTAGCATCCTCCCTAGAAATGATGAAGATGACCCATGGCAGGTGGGCACTTGGCCCAAAGTTTGGTTACAGAGGAGTGCTGTCCAAGCATCTGTCAAAGTACCTTTTATTCTCCTGACTTAATTGTCCTCTCGATGCTTACTGCCTCCATCTAACCCAGGCCTAGTCCTGGATCTTCTAGCCTCCATACAAGCTAACCTAGACGTAGAATGTTTTCAGCCTCAGAGACTTACTGCTGAGTAAGCTCACCCTTTCTAGTTCTAAGCTAACAGCTGGCTGGTTCAACTCAGCTGTTTTGGCTCAAACTCCTCGCCAAGCTGACTGATTCAGTCTGGCTTCACTCAGCTTGTGACTGAATTGCTCTGCTTGGCCTCATACTAACTTTGGCAATCTGTTCTAATCTCCGGTTCCTCATTCCCTGGCTCGTTCTGTCTTCACCTATGTCTAGCTTGTTCTCTGCTCAACCTGTCTCTGTAAACTTGTTCAGGTAAAACTGCTTCCTCTCCCCCCCCCCATATCTCTGCACTGTTCCCTTTTTAATCACCTCTCCTTCCTCTCTGTTCTCAATTCTGTCAAATCTTTCTCATTTTGTCTGAGTCTCAATTAGACCTCACTTTCAAATATGGCTGCTTCATTCTGTCAACTGACTTTACCTTCATTGTTTGGGATTTAAGGTGTGTGCTAAGGGTATTTCTGCATTCTGGCCAGGGTAGCTGTGTTGATGGATTAAAATCCTCTACGAGCGTCCCCACCTGTCTGTGGCACTATGACTCCTTGGGCCAAAGCAGGATTCAAGACTGAGGAGAACCAGCTCTCCTACGCTTTCCTTTGCTCTGACTCTGGCTGCCATTAGCGATGTTTTAATGTGTGGTCTCAATCTAGGGATTTGCCGTGATTCTACCAGCCTGTCAAGTAGTGTGAACAAAGCAATTTGATGTCTGAAAGCTCCGGAGAGACACCTGCCGCAGGTGGCTCTTCTCTACTTCTCAAGTTATCTAATAAAATAAGAGGTGTGAGGGAGACATGTCAGAATGCTGAGCTGAGTGATGGCTCAGTGGCTGAGAACACTGCCTGTGCTTCCGGAGGGCCTGGGTTCGATTCCTGACACCCATGTGGCAGCTCACAGCCATCTGTAACTCTAGTTCCAGGGATCGACGCCCTCTTCTGGCCTCTGCGGGCACTGCGCAGCCATCCATGCAGACAAGGCACACACACACACAAAAGCGAAACACAACCCAGAGTGTCGGCACAGCCCAGTGCTCTCAGCGTGTAGGCCGTGTGCACACCGACACGACTCTACTCGTGATGAGCTGTATGGCTTCTACCTCTCCTATTTGACATGATCAAAGTGAACAAGATCGTGGTGTCTTAATAAAGACGGTCAGAGTGAACTCCAGACTCACCCCACCTAACGGGGTGATTCGCTTGAGTTAACTCTGTTCCCATTTCTTTCTCCCTTGACTTTCTGTTACCATCATCCTTTCTCTGCTTCTGTGGGTTTAAATTCTTGTGCACACAGAATTTTTCTTTATGTAGCTTTTATAATGTGTTAAAGGCCACTCATGTGTCACACATGACACAATCTCTTTTTGTAAAGCTGAATAATACTCTATTGTACACACAAATCACAATTTCTTTATTTGTTCATCATTCGTGGGCCTTGTGTAACCGGGTTGATGGTGTGAATAGGGGAAGGATGTTTGTGCTGACCTTGGCAGTGATAGTCACAGTGAAGGGTGAGCACAGACTAGCAGAAACTGAATAAAGAAGCGGGCAGCATCGCACCACAAGGCCTCCGTCCTGGCTGTGCTGCTCCCGGGACTGTCGAGCAGGACTGTGAGTGGGGACTCACAGTCTCCATCTTGGGCTCCGTAGAGCAGTTGCTCTCAATGAGGCAGGAACAAGTGCAGCTTAACTGAGACACAAGAGAGCTTAACTGAGACACTCTCAGACTCTGGGTGGGACTGGAAACCAGTTCAGCCAGCGTTAGAAACTGTGGAGATTTGCAGAGGATGGAAGACAGAGTCCATGTGGGCCCTGGGCAAATAGCCACAGGAAGTGAGACTGACACAGTCCATCCTCCTTCAGCGGGGCGGAGTCTGGCCTCTGCTGTGTCCAGCTGACCTGTCTCCATGGGCTTGTCCCTAGCTTCCCACGGCTCTGTCAGGCCTCCACAGTTTCCTGAGCCCCAGCCAGAGGGCTTTAAGTGAGGCTAAATACAAAGCGGCCGTGATTTTAACCGTATTTGTTTTCATGTATCTCCCCATGGGCTTTATCCAATGCACGGAATTTCCTTACTGATAGTATCTTCATATTTAAGAATTAAATGAAATTTCATCTAGGAGACATGCTGAGGTCCAACTCAGTTGCCCGCACAGCAGGTTCTTCTCTTGTCATTCTTCCTCATTCTCATTGACTGTTCTCCTTCCTCCCTTAGTTAAAATAAGTCCCAGGAGTTTTCTGTCCAGATAGTCCTCTGCCCTGTCCACCTGTTTTCAAGAGCATCTCCTGCCCACTTCCCTTCAGCCCTTTGGGCCTGGCTCCCCTCCCTGCCACCTACTGGCCTGATGGTCAAGTCAGGTTCATGCAGCAGGTGCACATGACAAGCTGGTCTTCTCCTGGTCCCACCCTCCTTGTATTAGCTTCAGGGCATGGGGGTGACCCCGGGCCTCTGATCTCAGCTGCAGACAAGCATCTGGTGGGAAATACAGCATTTGGGCTCAGCTGTGTGGTGCTTGGACACCCTGCTGACTGCTGATCCTTATGCCTTGTTGAGAGCACGGCTGTGGGGTTTACACTGAAGTTAGGGGCTCAGCACCAGCTTTACTGCCCCCCTAACTTCAGGTCATTGTTGATGCCTCGGCATCCGGCTTTCCTGCTTTTGCAGTCAGAGTTGGGGAGAGGAATGCTAATGAATGAAGTCATTAAGAAGGGCCTGAGCCAGGGGCTGCTGCCATTACAGGAAGAGGATGGAAGAGCTTACCCACTGGGCACGTGGACAAGGAGAGGTGTGGGAGGATACAACTAGAGAGGAGAGGTCCACAAGCCAGGAGCAGGGCCCACCAGGACATCGGGCTCACAGGACGCTTCATCTCAGAAACTGACCTACGCTGATCTTCGGTTTTATCAGAATGTTTCACGGTGGCTGGGACAGGCTGTCACAGAGCTAAGCGAGGCTGGTAGTGTTCAAAGTCCTCATCTCATTAATCACAGAATAATTGTTTCTGTGATATTAGCATAGGCTGGATAGTGCATGATTAATTTTGATAAATCTTACAATAGAGATATCAGTTGATAGTCATCTTTCTGGTGATGGTTCACTGTTATACTTAGTCTGTAATTATTGAAAGAAAGAAAACACAAAGAAGGATAACCTGAATGAAGGAAGGGAGAGTACAACTGGTTGGCCTGTGGAGGACGGCCTGGTGGAGTCCATCGCAGACCCTGCCACCTTCCGCCTGCTTCTGCTCTCTCCTTGCCACACCCACCCTTCCTCTCCATCCTTGCCACCCTGCTTCCTCCTGCCCTCGTCTCTGCGGTTCCACAGCAGAAGGCCCTGCTGCCTGCACTTTATTCCTGCACAGCAGCCACCACAGTCCGCAAACACCAAATTGTTGCTCTCGTTCTGTGAAAGCTCTGCCTTGACTCCCCCACTGCTTTTCAGGGAAACCCGGTGTTTTCTCCTTGATCACTGGGCTCTCGGTCTGTCTGCGACCTGGTAGCTCTTAGTGTCTCTGGGCTCCCTGTCCCCATGCCCCTGCTCTCATTTCCCTGCATCTTCTGCTGGGCCGCTGGGCTCAAAGGCCTGCTGAGAGGCCGCTTAAGGGAGGAAGGCCTTTGCCTCACCGTTTGGGAAGGTAGAAACTATCATACCCAGGAGAACACGGTAGCAGGAGCAAGAGGTGTCAAGTCCCATTACTTTCACACTCAGGCCGCGTGTGCTTAGGACATGTCACTGCCTTGTCCTCAGCTGCCACCGGCTCTTCTCTATCCTGGAAGCCATAGCTCTGTGCCTGCTGTCTGGAAGTTCTGTTTCGTTCCGGACTGAGCTCACCGTGAGCTTCGGATGTGCTTCCCCTTGGGAATGTCTGTTTGCCCATCTCTCCTAACTGGCTTCAGGGTCTAAGGACACGCTCCCTGGCCACCTGTGCTGGGCCGCTCTGCACAGACCCTGAGTGACTGTAGCATATACTTTTGTAAGCTGGTTTTATAAAGCCGCCAGACTTCTGGGACACTGCATTTTAGACCCTGGCATGTGGTCATTATCTTGAAGCCCAAACTTCCTGACCCTTTGCACCATGTTGGAGGAAGCTGAAGGAAGGCTCAGAGCAAGGGTACCTCATGGCAGACTTCATCTTATGCCTTAAAGCAGCGCTTGGTAACGGCTGCAATTCTCACCGTAGGAGAATCTTGCTGCCTTGTATCTCTGTGTTGCACACACAGAATCACTTCCACTGCTTCGTTTTCTATCTGTAAATAAATAGCCTTTGCCTGAGGTAGACATGAGAGGGGGAGGGCCTGCCCAAGGCTAGAGTCCCTCAACAAGGGACTGGCCCACCTTCTTCAGGGTCTGACTTCAGTAGGTCAGGTCCCCTGCCCGCTGCACCCTCAGTTGGAAGGACAGACTGGCCTGGGCAGTTGGAGGCTCTGTCCTGGTTGTGCTCTGTTCCCTCCTGCCTGCAGCTGGGCTCTGCTCAGCCCTGACCTGAAGCCTCAGCCAAGATGACCCTACCACGCCCTCGGTGTCTCCGTCGAGAGAAGGCGTTTCCCTGCAGACATTCTGTGCCCCCTTGGTCAGGGGTGTTGTCATTCGGCTGTGCACACCTGCCGTGGCTTTGGCTCCTTCCCTGTGGAGTCACTTGTGTAACTCACCATGTTCAGAAGCCTGGGATGAAAACAGTGGACATTCAACGCAGCCTCCTGAAGCTGGGAGTAAAACCAAAGAGCTGACCAAAGCATGATTTTTGTTTTCTTTCTTTTAATATCCACTGTAGGTCTGGAGTTCAGACTCTGCCCCACAATGCCAAGGTTCATTACAACTACGCAAATTTCCTGAAAGACCAAGGCCGGAACAAGGAGGCGATCTACCACTACAGAACTGCCCTCAAGTAAGCCACTGCCCTATGCTGTGACGGGCCTGCTCCTGTCATCGCCCCCTTCCCATGTGTGGGTGCTCCTGGCCCTGGACAGGGGGCGAGGGCTCGGCGTTCAGGTCAGCACACACTCAGCCTTCCTCCTGCTTCCATGTGCAGCGTGTTGCTGCACACAGCCCAGGCTGGTGAGACTCAGCGGGTGCACACGTGTGAAGCAGGAGCCTCTTGCTAAAAATGCTTGTGTAACCGTGGCACACGTGGGGAGCATTTGTCTTAGACCTTTCAGCAGTGTGTGTATAGAAAGCCTCGGCCTTGCATGTCCTTTTTCACAGGTGTATATGTTGATGGGGTGTGCACCTGTGCATGTTTACTGGGCCTGAGGTCACCTCAGGTGTGATTTCTTAGGCTTCATGCACTTTGCTTTGAAACGGTCTCGATGGCCTAGGAACTACTAATTATACAGAACTGACTGGGCCTTGAGACCCTGTCTCAAAAAAGCCAAAACAGGAAGAGGCAGAACTATTCCATCACAGGAACACACGAAGTATTCTCTGCCCTTAATGATGGTGTCTCACCGTTTCTCATGTGTCCCTGAAGGAAGGGAACAGCAGTCAGTCTGTCCAGCAGTGTTGGTGGGAGAGTAAATGTGACCCTGACCCACAGCTGAGCCAAACACTTTATTAAATGACATTCCCTGGCGGTTGACCACACAAAATTCTGTAGTAGCCGGTTTGGTATTTCCGCTCCTTTCCTGTGAAACAATAAAAATAAATATTTGCTTCCCGGAGAAATATGGTCCCTGAAGAATGGGGGAAGACAAAGCTATAAATCCAGTGCTGAAATTAGTGAATTATTTAATGCTCTCACCCCGATCCCAAACATTCCTGATTTAAAGTCTTGTTCTTGTATGGACTCCTCTCCATAGTCCTTTAGGGGACACGAGCATTGCTTTGGGGCTCGGCTCTCCTGTTCACACTGAATTTTGACACTGAAGCCCAAGAGTCCCATGTGAGAGAAGCAGAGAGAGTGGGTGTGTCCACCGTCCACCTCCGAAGCTCTCTGTGTGTTGTGTAGGAACAAGCCCCATTTCACAGTAGTGATAGGAGGAGGAAGGTCGGGGCATCCCAGACGTCCAGCTTTTGCACTAACAGTTCCCACGCAGTGACTTACCCAGTGAGTCCAGAGGAGGAGCTGCCTGAACAGCCGCAGGAGACGCCGACCGCACAGTTGGCTGTTTGACTGATTGACTAGTTGTGAAAGTTAAAAGCAGAGAACCATAAGCAGGTCCCCACTCTCCTCCTTCCTCCCCTTCCCTCCTCCCCCCTCCCCTGCCATCCTCCTCTTCTTTTCTGTCCCTCCTTCTCCCTCCCCCATTTCTCTCCCCAGCTCCCTCTATATTTATTTTGCAAGCGTCTCAGTTGCCTCAGTTGGCCTTGAACTTGCAATTCTTCTGCCTCAGCCTCCCAGTAGCTGTGCTTGTAATGCCTGCACCATAGGCCCGGCCTTATGAACACTCCTCAGTATCTTGTTGGCCTTGAAATTTCAAATGTGCAGTCATTCACCAGGTTTCTAGTAACAAACAGGCGAACACAACTCCTTCGGAGCGTGCTGGTGAGACTTGGCGATGGCGGTGGCTGCGCTCAGTCACGGTGTGTTAGAGTAGAAGGCGAAGACACTGCGGTCATTTCATTAGACCAGCTAAGATTTTTTTTTCTTATTTTCCTCCAATCTTTTACAGCTGCTTCACAAATGATTGGCAATTTTTTTTTAACAAACCCTTCTTTTTCCAGTATTTCTAATTTTTACCTGCTTTTCTTAGAAATAAGAAATTATTCTTCCCACACATATATTTTACCTGTCTGTAAAATATTTCAAGGCAGTGAATACTGTGAGTGAGTTTTAGCAGTTGTTTGTTTAGCTGGCGGGAGCAGAAGGGCTGAGTCCGAGCTGTTAGCGTCAGTACGGTTGCTTGCCTTAGAGGCTGTCTGGAAGTCTGGTGGTACAACTAACAGTCCCACTGCTGTGGTGGTTACGGGCTCTTCTTTCTGCTGTCTACAGCTGCTGCATGGGTAAATCCCAGTTGTTAAGCCACATTGGCCAAGAACCAGCACCTGGGACAGAGATTAAAGTTGTCGTTGTCCAGGTGGCTCAGAAAGACTTCTGGCTGAGCAAGGTGGTGCACTCTTGAAATCCCAGAATCTGAGCCGTGAAGCTTGACTGTGGAAGTTCAAAGTCAGCCCAGTCTACAGAGGGATTTGTAGGCCTGCCAGGGCTGCATGGTGAAGGATCGCTTTAACTCTCCCATCCCCAAAGAGAGAGAATGGTGTAAAGGAAGGAGGGAGAGGCAGAGATGGGAGGAGAGGTGGCAAGGGTGGGGAAAGGAAGGAAGGAAGGAGCGAAGGAAGGAAGACAGACAGCCAGACAGCCAGGACTCTCGCCTACCAGAGGAGGCTCCATGGAACATTCATTCTCTTAAGTGTCATCCCCGACACATACTCTACATGAAGGAGTCTATCGTGGTGGAGGCCTGCGACCTTCTGCCTCCGAGAAACTCTTCTCACAAACATGGCTTCACCTCAAGCTCAGGGTTAAAATTTACCAGCACAACCCCAACGGTGCAGGCAAATTTCTGGATGCCCGCTTTAAAGCCACTCTCGGGGAGGGGGCATGTTGACGAGGTTCACAGCACCAGGCTGAGTTCCCTCTTGTGCCACAGGCCGTAGTCAGTGCAGAATGACTGATCACACCCGCACCTTCGTGCACCGTTGCACCGTGAGCACATCCTGCCGGGCAGGCCGGCCAGTGCTGTGTGCAGAGCTCATCACAGCATAATTCCGCTCTTGGGTTTCTCCCCAGCAGCCCACAGAGCGCTCTGAGACTTGGAAAGCTGGCCTGTGGGAGGAAGTGTTCAGGTCAGTTCCGGCTTGATCCATCCGTGTCCCGCAACCTAAGCGTGTTGTATCTGCAGCAGCAGGCTCTTACTGTCTGGTCATGGGCGGCCAACAGCAGCGGCGACAGCCTGGTTCTTCTGGGGGGAGGGTGCCCTGGGGCTTCCCTGACCCATACGTGATCGGAGATGTCGTTCTTACTTTTCTATTTCTGTGACTGAGGCGACTTATGGAAGAAACCGTTCTGGGTGCTAACAGGCGCAAAGGGAAAGTGCCAGACCAGCATGGTACGGGGCACGGCAGCAGGCACGAGGGCATGGCACTGAAGTAGCATGAGAGCTTAGGTCTTGATCCATATACACAAGGCAAGAGAAGCCTGGGGACGGCACGGTGCTTTGAAACCTCAGAGCCCACCCCGGTGACACCCTGCAATACTTTCCTCACCCTTCTCAAGAGCTCCGCCAACCGGGGACCAGCACTGAACTATATGAGCCTTTTGGATCTCCACAGGAGGCACCCCACAGTGGACCGGGCTCTTTCCCGTGGGATAACTAAGCTCTCTCTTGTTCAAAAGAAAACTCTTCGTGCTGGTTGGTTCCCACTGCTGACTGACTGAGCAACACCTGGGGCATTGGTGAGGAGCACTGCTGGGTGTTTCCAAGGAGGGAGACCTGCTCTAGTGTCGCTGGCCCCGCTCCACAAGCTGGGGTCTTCAGCCAGATGAAAAGGGGAAAGGGAAACTGAAGAGAATGAAGAGCTGGCTGAGTGCCAGGATTACCCTTTGGGATAGGTGTGAGCCTAATTTCTCCCTGCCTTCCCACCGTGATGCATTCTACCTACTCAGAGTAAACCCTCCCTCACCTAGGTTGCCTCGGTCAGGCGTTTCACCACAGGTACGAGAAAAAGAAGTAAGACCCCGCCCACCGCTTGGTCAGCTAACACGGAAAGAACGGAACTAAAGGCTTTGCAGTTAGCTCAGTTTCTAGAATAGACTTGTCAGGAGAACACAGCCCTTCGGCAGAGTTCTTTGTACTTCCTCCTGCACAGGATGACTGGCGTTCCTCGGGGAGGTCCTCAGGTTGAGATAAGTGTTGTCGTTAGACTGGGAAGCAGCCTGATGCCTGCTCCCCCGGCTCGCCGGCACTGGTACGCTGGAGCGCCTTTACAGCGCTGTTCATCATGCTGCAGTGCGGGCGTTAACGTCAGGAGTCAACAAGAGCTAAGAGCCTTACGTCTGTGCTGATGGACCTTCCAGATGTCTTTCTTGTGAGCACGCCAGCCACCTCGAGTCTCTGGAAAGAAGTGAAATCCCAGTGTGGTTTATTAGCCAGGGGGAGATGGCTTCGGCTGCTGTGGTATCTTTATCTGTGAGGGGCTAAAGAGCTTTCCAATGTCACCAGTAGGCATTTGAAATGTTTTTCCTTCTTCCTGTTGATGAACCAAGAAGAAATTACATTCTTAATCTATATACATGCTGCATGTACATACGTATCACACGCACACATGCATACACACATGCATATCGACACACATGTATGTGTTGTTTTATCATGTCTCATAGTCATAGAGTTTAAGGAACTAACTTTACTTTATTTAGAAACGTACTGAATTTAGTGAAATTATGGCCAAGTTATCAACTGAGTTTTGAAATGAAAGGGTCATTATTTCTCTCCAGGAAAGTTCCATGCTTCCTGGCTGTCTTTTTCCTCCCACGTTTCACTTTCATTGAACCAGCTTATGCGGCTTCCCAGGATCTAGGCTCTGGGGCAGAGGTTTCCGTGCAGGCCGCCTGCCCAGAGCACTCTCCTAATCATGGGAAGGGAGCAGAGAGCAGGATGGACGGGGCGTGCAGTGACCCTCATCAAGCTCGCTGACCCTGCGGACTTCTGCAGGGGGGCTGACCCTCAGAGCCTTCACGAGCAGATGTCAGTCTAAACAGCCCTGCACCCCAGGTTCCTGGTGGGGACACAGTGGGCGTTGTCAGCACCCGAATTCCTTGCGGCTGGGAGTGACTGGCTCAGAACTGAGGGAGGAACAGCCCTGGGTTGCCTCTTTACAGGCAGATTTCACAGCATCTCAGAATAGAGTATGACTATCAGTGAGGACGGTGCTGCCTACTTCAAATTG